CCTTCCGTCCCCATGCTCTCTGGCTCTCTCTCTTCCTTACTCAGCGTCCTCCAGTCACACTGGCCTCCTCGCACGTTCCCTCCTTTGTCCTCCAGGCCTTTGTACCTGCGCTGCCTTGTGTCTGAGGTCTTTACAGGACTACCTTTTCTTCAAGAATGAAACCTGTTCTAAGAGGCATTCCTGGCCTTTACCCCACACGCAAAGCAACCCTCTCCTTACTACGCACGAAGGCACCCTTAAACAATTCAAGCACATGGCACTAGTTCATACTGGGATTTCTTGACCTGCTTATTGGATGTGTTTTGTACGGCAAAGAGCTCCACGCGAATCTAAAGACTGTCTGCCCGCTTTCTGTTGGCTCCGTCGCACCTTGAATAAAGTCGGCATCTCACACATTTTTAACGATGGGTGATTTCATTAACCTAAAGTCCCTCATAACTGCGAGAGCCGAAGTTCAGAGAAGGCCAACAGTTTACCTGAGGTTCTGAAACTAGTTACCAGATTCCCATTTCTTCCGTCTGCCTTCTGAAGTCATTTTCTATCTCGCCCCTCACCAACTAGTCTTCTGACCAGTTCAGATTTTAGCACTAGATTTTAACATTCTGCTTGTTTTTTGTGCTATGCTACTTTGTATTGTTTGAACCTTTTGTTAACAATAGCATCTAGTCTTGCTGTCTCTGTCAGTGTTTCCCCAGTCAAACCCTTAACCCTCTGAAGAGACCCAGCTTCTGTTACTGAGGATAGGAGTTGGAGGCTAGCAGGCACTGCGTGAGTCTGCCCCCCAAGCTCTCTTTAAAGTGTTGAGGAGCAAGAACGTTACTTAGAGGACGGCGGTACACCTGACCCAAGCGGTGGTATTGCCAATCGCCTCATATCCATGTGAAAGTTGAATATTGACTAAGGAAGACCAAAGAAGAATGTATAATGTATGCATTTGAACGATGGTGCTGGTGAAGAATATGTAAAGCACCTGGGACTGCTAAAGGACACGCAACCCTGTCTTGGAAGAAGTGCAGCCAGAATGCTCCTTGGAAGCAAGGACGGTGTGTCTTTGTGTCATGTCCTTTGTGTGGATTGTCAAGAGAGATCCAGCCCTGGAAAAGGGCATCATGCTTGGAAAAGTGGAGGGGCAGTGAAAAAGAGCAAGGCCCTGGACCAGCGGGATTGATGATGGGCTCAAACCTAAGAACGCTTGTGAGGCTGGTGCCGGCTGGGCAGGGCTTTGTCCCACACACAGAGGGCTGCTGTGATTGGAACCCACTGGACAACACCTAACGACGGCACCACCCAAAACAACAATGTCAGTGGAGCCCCAACGAGGCACAGAGGTGAGGGGATCTATCCTACCGGGAGCTGGAATCTTGCGCGCTTCCTTAAAACTGTGCAGGGGAGCTGCTTTCGGTGTGATGGGCGGGTTCTGAAGGGTTATCCTGGCTTTGGGTGGAATCAATCCTCGTTCCATCATGCTTAAAATCCCTAAGAAGGAAGAGGAACAGAGTATGGGTTTAACTTCTTTCCACGAAGTCTAAATTCTGTACATTCTATGAACATAACACTCCATTCTAAATCTTATTTATGAGGCAACATCTAGTGCCTTGCACGAACAGTTAAGCCAATATACTAAGCAAGAAAAAAACAGCAATTCCAATAGTAGTAATGTGAAATATTGCACTAAAATTATTCATTTTAAGGTAGAAATATAATTTCAAAGTGACTGAAAACTTCTTTATACTTAGGACATTTTCAATTATGGTTATTTTTTTAATTCTGAAAAATCAGGTATATGTATTTTTAATACATAAGAAGATTCTTTGTTGTGAAAGGAATAAAATTAATATACTTGAGACAATTCTTCTGTTGTTTTTAATCAGTTGGGTTTTATAAAAGAGTTATTTTTAGATATTTCTCACATTATCTAAAGATGTGAATACCCAATGAGGTAATCTTAATATAAGAAGGCAATATAGCTAGTAT